TAGCATATATTCTCCCATTGATTCCTCTGGAAGAGCCAGTGTCAGGGGGGATTGAAGGTAGACTTTGAATTCAACCCTTACACAAAACGGCTAAATGGAAGAGGAAGAAACAAAATCACGCTCATCAAGCAAAGAGCACCTTGTTGAACTCCCCCTCTTCCTCCTCCCTTTTGTTCTCTTCCCGATGCCGCAAGGTAACTGTCGAAAGTTCCAAAGTTGGATGCATAGGCGAGGTCATCAAGCACGAATGCCTCATCCATGGTCATCGCCATTAAGATTCAGGGGCGTGATTCCGTTATCTGCTTCAGCACGAACTCCCTACTTTAGATTCAAGGGCGTGATTCCGTTTTTTAGCAATGGCACACATTAGCTTCACCACCTTTTTCAGCTCGTCCTGCTCTCCAATGAAGATAGGTGGAAAGACCTCGAGCTAAGATAGGGCTTCGTCTGTGCATGAAAGGAGCCTCAGCTAGAACCACCATCACGACCACCACCAGATCGACTAGAAGGGGAACCTGCCATAAAATTCCCAAAATTCCTACCACCATATGTCGGCATTACAGGCGAATATGCCGAATAGAAATCCATTCCTGGTGTGCTAAGCGAGCCACTCTTGGACTTGGGCCACCTTTGAGGATGGGGCATTGAAGATCAACTAGCTCCATCTCTTGATACTAGATTGAAAATCCACTTTTCTACATCTTACCATTTAAATGGCAATGTTCTTCCATTGCTCAAAGGCAACAAAACAACACTAGCATACCTCCTACTACCATTTACCGACAGTAGCACTCATTCTTTTAAGCGACTTTGGCACTGGATCCTGTTTTGGTTTTATCATGTTTTTTTGAGCAACTGACCAATTTTCATATGTAGCTTTAGGGTTCTGGTTTCCATTTTTTCATCTATAGTCCCCTACCAGAAACCAACCAATTTTCTCCCACCAGGATTTGTAGGAAACCTAATATCATAAAAGGGTATGAGTAGTGGTTTTGACTACAGTAGTGAAAACAAGGGGTCAAGATCCATGGCTTTTGACGTCGGTTGCGTGTATTCACACTGGTATAACACCAACAATCGTTATTTATTCTATCGACACAGTAGTGTTGATTTACCTTCAACACTAATGCCAACGCAGTAGTTGAAAATTTTCATTAGTTGAGTTTTATTTTGAAAATTTGAGTAGTGAAGGGCAAATTCGATATTTCATTTTTTCCATTAGTACTTAACAATGAGGGTGTTTGGTTTCATTTATGTTTATTTAGTAAACGTTTTGTACTTGTGTGACTGCAAAACCAAGAAACACATTTAATGAGGGCATATATGACACATAGGCACTACATCAACAAAATGCCAATAAACGCCTACCCATTTAAGGAAGCTCCAAACAGAAACCGAAGTTTACTTTTGCAAACTTCGATACACACAAATGCAATTAATGAGGCATTTGTTGATGGGGCGCTTATGTGGCACCATCAATAAACATTTACTCAATAAATGTAAACGGAACCAAGCATATACAATGATGTCAATTGTCTGAAAACTTGAAGGTACTTTAAGACAATATGAAAATAGTAAGGGTGGAGTTAGTCAATTAACTAAACCATAAGGGTAGTTTAAGAAATTTTCCTTTCTTAAATAGGTGGCTAAGTTTGTATCCACTTGCTAAACCAAGGGTACTTCAAGTATCTATACCTATATATTAAAATGGAATTTTCCAAGCTGACACTTTCCTACTTTGTGGTTTATTCTCAAAGTCATTTATCTTTTTCCCAGTTTCTTCTCAATGGTTATCTTTTTTCTATTTTTTTATTTTTTTAATATTCAAATTGAACAAAATAACTCAAGTGACCAATCACCTTTAAGACTTTTAACACTCATCATTAATACATCATTAACTCTCTCTCTCTCTCTCTCTCATTTTTCCCATTAACTCTCTCCTTCAATAACTCATGCCACTAATCCTCTCTCATCTCCATTACTCCATTAAATTGCATAAAATACATAAACTTTATACATACATATATATATATATATATATATATATATATAATATTCAACTTAACTATAATTTTATATATATTAGATATACTTGCATTAAACTATAATTATTAGTAAAGGTTAATTAAATTGAAATTGAGATACTCAATGATATATTAACTATATAAATTTAATTAATGTTCCAATTAAAATTATAATCCATTTATATTCCATTTGAAAATAATAAAAATTAATTAACCATAATAAAAATAATTTAGTAAGTTACTTAAATAAAATAAAAATAATTATTAATTATTGTTATTGTTATTAATAAAATATTTTTATTAATATAATAAAAGGAATAAGATAAATTAAACCTAATGCCAATTTATAGTTAATACAAATTCTCAAACAATCATTAGTTTTATAATTAAATTTTATTAATATAAAACCATTAAGGAAAATTATTCTTTGAAAATTGTTTGGCAAAATAAATTAGTGAAGGGTAAAGTTAAAACTTTAAATTATGTATGATAATGCATTAACAATGATAAAGGTATTTGTTATCGAAAAGCCAAGGGAAAGGAAATATTTGCACTTTTTTCTCAAAACTATAGGAGAGGCCTTTGTTAGGATCATAACACAAAGGTGGTTTATAGAATTGTTATAAGAGGTTGCCTTTTTTTGTAGTTTTACCTAAAAATAATACAAAAATAATAATAAACCAATAAAAATTAGCATTAAGATATAAAAAAATGATACAAATTTATGAGAATTGGAAATTGGCCACTCTCACTAAAACACAACTTGGATTATAATTAGATAGACAAAACATAGCCCTAAAAAATAATACTTGAATTGAACTTAGGTGGACACCATTTAATTGGAACTATCATATAAATCCATCTTTAATAAAGCGCATGCATGGCATGGTAAAGGAAAAATTTAGTTGACTAATTCTACCCTTACAGTTTATATATTTTCTTCGAGTACCCTCTAAGTGTTTTTACAATTGTCTAAAACCTCTTTGCTGTTAGAGACTATTTTAGTAGTAAAAAGGAGAGAGAGAGAGAGAGAGGGAGGGATACCATCGGCAGCAGCGGTGAATGATGGAACAGGGGAGGGCGGAGGCAGGGAGACCGGAACGTGATTCCGTTCGTTGCTGGAACATGGCCTCCTATTGACTGGAGATGGAGAGGGCATCTCGGTGGATCACAGGCGTAAAGTATCTAGTAATTTAATGATTCAGCTACATCTGCAGTAATGCCCTGCTCTGTGAAATGCTGCAGCACCATGTCATACGAGATAATATCTCATACTCTGATATTCAGATTTGTCCAACCACCCTCCTTTTCTCTCTTCTCATTTTCCATCCTGTGACACCGTATCACCTACGTTTCTCTAAACTTGTGAATCCTCATCATTGACATATAGATGCTATGCGACAATGCTCCATATTGTTTTCCTTCATTCATCCTTCTAACACGCACAGAGCCACAGGCATTGACTCAGTGAGACAGCGACCAACCTTCATTCATCCTTCGAAGAAGACTATATTCTTTTGCTTCTAATGTCTATTCGGTAAATGAGTCTACAGATTTTGTCTTGACTGGTTCTGTGATAAAACTCGGTTGATTGCCAGAGCATCCACCTGGCAAATTTAGTTTTAGTTTTAGTTTTACATTGGATGGTTTGTGCAGGTTCCTGTGGCTCCAGAGGAACAACTTCCACCATAGTCTCCTACTCCTCGAAGACAGAACTTGACTTGAAGAATGTTTCTTCAACATGACTCTGTTAGCACTGCAAAGAGTCATAACTATTACTGGACTGGCCTGAATTTCTGGAACAATCTCTGCTCCCTTCTCTGTTAAATTGTTCAAGTTATCAAAAGGTTGATACCTCAAAGGAGGTGTCTGAGTTTTCAAAGGTTAGCAATCACATTGGCTCTCTTGAATCAGCTTTCAAGAAGAAATCTCTCCTGCATCCATGAACAACTAAAGCTTACTAACATATATAGCATCAAAAAGAAGCCCAAATTACATGCATGCTCACAGACAGACACCCACACAGAGATATGAGGTTTTAGGATTCCAACTTCAGATGGTTGTAAACGAAGAAACAAAGAAAAAACTAGGACAAAGAAAAAAGAAAAGATGTAGTAAGGAAATTAAAAGGAAAAGGATACAGACGTTAAAAGCGAAAGAGAGAGAGAGAGAAGGTAGTGATCCATACAGGTGAGCCCAGCGTCGGCATTCGCTACGGGGTGGAAGGTAGCGTGAGATATTCTCTCGTGTGAGATGACGCGCACTCTATGTATTTGCTGAAAACGCCGTTTGGGTCGAACTCTAATCTCGGCGAGTGTCCACTGCAAGTTGATTAAGTAGTCGGGGTCGGTGATGATCACAAGAAACTGGGATTTCTCCTCTGTTTTTCAACACTTTCAGGTCAGTGAAAAGAAATACCCTTATTGTTTGATGTGTTTTTGGTTAAGGAGTTTGCCAGAAATTTGTTCTTTCAATTTTTGCCAATACGGTTGTCTGATTGAATGTTTGGTAACAAAGTTGGAGGCGAACGGCATGATTATCTTCGGTCTCCGTTCTCGAATCCAGCTTGATTCCAGCCATCAGCCATCACTTCGAGAGCAAGCAACGGTGGTTGTCTCTGTTCTTGCAACCTTCGGTGATTCCTCTTGTAACGCTGTATTCGAAGAAGGGATCTTCACCGGTGAGAGAGATGGAGACGGTGCTCCATCCCAATCTTACGATGAAGTTGTTCTGGGATCTTTGCCGGTGAGGGAGACGGAGACAGAGAGATGGAGATGGAATCGAGTTAAACAAAAGGGTATGTGATGTCACATGTGACGGAATGTGACGGAAAATTAACGGTAAAAGATGTTTTAGACAATTGTAAAAACGTTAAGGGTAATGTAAGACAATATATAAAGATTAAGGTAGAATTAGTTAAAGCCTTCCTTTTTAAAGCTTATTTAAGAGATTTACCCTTAAAAAACTCGGCTGGGTCATTTGAGCCTTTCGAGAACAAAGCCATATAAGCAAGAGCGCGAAGAGAAAGAATAGAAACAAGAAGGAAGGCGAAGGAGCATAACAACGACAATGGCACAGGAAGTAGAGAGCGTCTTAGCGGTGGTTGGGTCAAAAGCAACAGAAGAGGAGAATGATGGGGTCGTTGGCGGTGGTGGTAGTGGTGTTGAAGAACCTGAGGAGAGAGAGGTCGTAGGCGATGATCTAGCTTTTGAGAAGTCCTCGACGACGGCCATGTATCAACCTCACCCCTTGGAGTACTCATGGACTTTCTGGTTCGACAATCCTTCCTCCAAATCCAAGCAAGCTGCTTGGGGTGCCTCCATTCGCCCCATTCACACCTTCGCCACCGTCGAGGAGTTCTGGAGGTGTTCCTCAATCATTGTCTCCATCTTCGTTTGATTGCTTCTCGTTTCTTCACTTCTTTTTGGAATTCTCGCTTCATTGTAACAAGAAATGCTCAAAACCCCTTCCATGATCCGAAAGAAAAGAAAAGAACTTTAAAATTGAATAAAAATGAGTTAAAGAATGATTAGCACTGAATCGCAGATTCGGGATAGGTTCATAGTAGTCAATGATTTATGTTCCTTGTGTGAAAAAGAAATGGTTCTTTTCTTTCTTCTCTGAATTCTGATTGAAGCTTTCCTCAACATCCATCTTTCATGCCCTGCTGAATATGGATTAGTTGTCCTCGCATTTTATTCTTTCTAGATTTTCCGCATCTCATGTTCTAGTTAGATGCATCTTATTCTATGAGATAATTTGCAACTGGGGTTTGAAAAGGAAGTGTGTTCTTCCCTATGGAAATATTCATGAATCAATGTCATGGACTTTACCAAAATTGACGTTCATAATCTCTGAATAGCTTCTTTATTTGAATGATTGAAAGCAAACTAAGATGATAGACCTTCTTGTGAAACTCTTATCTATGCCACTGATTTGATTTGCATATTTTTTTAATGGTTTTTTTTTTAATAATAAACTTGACTGCCAGGTTCTATTAACAGGTAAAGACAGTAGGGCGAAACTTTTTTGACTGACAATTCTTGATTTGGTTTCTTGTAGTTATCTTAACAGGTAAGGACAGTAGGGTGCAATTTTTTATTGGATTCCTTATTTGGTTTCATATAGATTCTTTCCATAGGGCTGATAAAAAACAAGAGAGTTGGGCCAGCTGGCATTTGTTTTTGTTCCATTTTGGAATTTCGTTGTTTTTGCATTGATGATACTATGGGGGTGTTCTCCATCATGTATGCTATCATTTTTTTTATCATTCCTAGAAATGCCGCACCAGCAATCACAAAAATGTTTTCTTAGTTGTGTTCTCTTTTCAAAAAAAAAAAAAGTGAAAATATTTTCAGTTTGATAAAAAACAATCTTGTTTCCAATAAAGAAAAAAAAACGAAATCTTGTTTCAATAACTGACAAAAGATGCTTTAAAAACACGCAAAAATAAACATGTTTTCACTAGCATAAGGATGATATTGTGTGTGGAACACGCATACACACCCCAAAATATTCTATGCACCCTCTTAGAAGTTCTGCTTTAAAGCTTCTTTGGCCCTTTGGATCATACAAATCCACTTTTAAAAGAATTTAGGTCCAAAGTATAAATAAAAATTACAAAAGAGAGAGGTGAGTTGATATCCATTTTATCAGAATCTCCATGTGAATATTGTATCTTATTGAAGCTTAATATTAAACAACCAGAAACCATGCTTTTGAAACCAGACATCCAAGCATGCATTTCTCATTCTAGTTTCCGAAATAAGAAATATGCTATATAACCAAGAGAATGTTTTCTGTGTTTTTGTTTTGAGAATCAATACTCTTTCAAGAAAAACAGTTTCTGGAACTGACAAGTCACAACAAGAAAAACAGTTAACATTGGAGAACACTCCCAAAATAAATGGCCCTTTACTGATGATATATTTTTCTACTTGGACAAGCATTGCTTCTGGGATTTCATTTGTTTCTGCTGTGTATTTACTATAGCTTTAACCTTTTGTCTTCTTTGCTTCGTATTGTATGGTCTAATGTGTCAATGTTATGATCTTGGAACAACTTTTCATTGGTTTCATCAGCACCATCTTTCTATGATAATGTTATTTCTTGATTCCCAATGATAGCCAAATTGTTTGCTTTACATCTGCAACTACCACCACCTTCTTTTTGTTAGGGTTCTCCTTTGCATATCTATGATGATTTTTCACAAATATATTCTGCATTCAGTGTTTATAACAATATAGTCCATCCAAGCAAGTTAGCTGTGGGAGCGGATTTCTATTGCTTCAAGTACAAAATTGAGCCAAAGTGGGAGGATCCTGTTTGTTCTAATGGAGGGAAGTGGACCATAAGCTTTCCTAGAGGAAAGTCAGATACTTGGTGGTTATATACGGTATGCTTCTGGTACTAGTAGAATTATATTAATACCAAGTACTGTATGTATTGCTTCTGCTAATATCCTGAGTGAATATCTTTAGTTGCTGGCAATGATTGGGGAACAATTTGAGCATGGTGAAGAAATTTGTGGAGCAGTTATTAATGTTAGAGCAAAGCAGGAGAAGATATCTTTATGGACCAAGAATGCTTCAAATGATACTGCTCAGGTAAATAGTACCCTCATCTATCCAGTGACAAGTGAACGTTGCATGTTATATCAGCTGCTCCTTAATCATTTATTGTTTATATGTTATGGATTCAGTATACTTTGACTATTAAATGAGACCATAAACACAATAACTGATAGTCCCTATACAATAAACAGAGAAACGATCTAAGAGGCAGCAAACTTGACCGACTCTTGACACAGGGCCAAATAGTACGACTTGGCCCAACTTGGTGGAGATCCAATGTGGCTTTTTCTTCCAAGACTGATAACTGGAACTCACTATGCTAACTTTAGAACCGAGTCATATTTATAAATGGGCTTCTTCTAACGTTAAAGAAAACAACTGTTAGAGAGTCCCAACAGTAACAAAAACAACTTGCATTTGGTCGCACTTGGACCTGTTCAACCTGTTGGGTCAGGGACAAGTGTCCCCTAGGTAGGATTATCTGCCCAAGCTTTCTCAACTACCTAGCCAAACTATTGACCATGCCAAGCAAGTGTTGTGCTGACATGGCAATAGGCTGTTCAACAAATAGAGACAAGTGTAAAGCAAGCAGCAACAACAATGAATAACATAAGCAGAAAATAAAGTTGGTGTTTTAGTTGGCAGTAGGAACACTATTACCCATTGGTGTAGGCTAAGCCATCAGTCATAGGATTTATCCATAGTTTCCATACACCAAGGTTATTCCAATCGAGGGCACCTGACCACTCATACCAATAATAACTTTAAAGTGGTTGCATTTTTTTTCTTTTTCTTTTGATCAATAACAGGAATCCATTAGATTAATATAAAATTTTAGTTACTAATTATCAAAAAAAAATATATAAAATTTTAGTTACAGCACTCCAGAGAGAGATAAATAGGCTTAACTCTCTCCATGAGGACAACAAAGAAAGAAAAATTACAGAACAACCCAAAACATTTGATCCCTTCCCACCCCCTGCTTTGCCAAAGCATTTGTTGTTCTCTTGACCCACTGAAACTGGATTCCCAGTCCTCTAGTTAGCTATTTAATCTCCCTCCTCATTAGCAAACTTCCAAAGTCCACTACCTTCTTATAACCAGCTTAAGACCAGCTTTGAGTCCCCTTCAACAACTAACTTTTGTATATTCAATTCCTTAGTCTTCCTTAGACCCTCCAGTACAGCATAGACCTCAGCTTTAAGAGAGTCCCCACTCCCCAACCCCAATGGGACCTGAATACAATGCAAGCACCTTCTCATCCTCATCTCTGAAGACCCCTCCTACACCTGATGGACCTAGATTTCCCTCACTACTTCCATCAAAATTTAGCTTTGTAAAATTACAGCCTGTTGGTGAGTACACAAGACAAACTGAGGAGTGGGCAGGTGCAGAATTTGCCACCTCCAACCAGTTATTCAACAACATATCTGTAGAAATATCAATAAGAAGGTCCAAGGATTTTAGCCAATGCACCATCCTAATTGTTATTACTCCAGTAAGACTTTCTTTACTTCTTTCAACTTCAGAAAAAAATTGGGTGTTCCTTTCCTCCCATAGAGTCCAACAAATAGCAGCCCTCACACACCTCCACATAATCCTTCCTCTTTTGTTTGGCCAATGAAGGAACAAAGGGCTAAACAAACTTTGAATGTTTGGTGGTGGGGTCCACCTACAACCAAAAAAGGAAAGAAACCATTCCCAAAGATCAGTAGCAAAGGGGCAAGAAATTAATAAGTGGTAGGMRCYTWSASCWTKRKYC